TCCACCCCGTCTGCTGTTCATCACACGAAAATGTGTAATAAAAAATGAAAAAAATCTATGATAATGTCTTACTCAAGGATTGCTACCTATGGGCCAAATAATGAATCCCCAAATATTTCCTCCACGAAACCACAGAATTCCCAGTTCCTTTTTTACCATGGCTAATGATCAGCCTCAGTCGCTTGCCTACGGTCGAAATGTAAGGAAATAAATTCACAATTACCTATACTTTGAATGTTTAAGTTGGATGCTTCACGCAAAATCGAATAACCAGTGCTTAATTTACCAACTCGCTGGAATCTACACCTGCTATTTTGGAAAGCGTGGTGGAGATCCGAGGAATTTGGGCGTATTGTAAATCCACGGGAAATAGATCCTGTACAGGAGTACAGGATACGCTACCGTCGTCGGTCACGCAGCTACCTATGCGCGAGAACCAGTCGACGTCTGACGCCCTTCGGGGGGACAAATATCCGCGAAAAACAAGCAAGATTTCTACCAGGTCGCGGTTGTATTGACTAGGTAGATGTTCACGCTGCGTGATGTCCTCGAACTATGCCACATACACCGTCGATCAACGGTTTTCGTGTTTCTTTACCTAAAAGGTGCCTTCGACTCAGTTGATCGCGAATCCGTTAGGGGTTCACTCCTTCGTAAAGGAATGCAGCAGAAGCATATGAACATACTGAGTTCCCTCTACTCACATACCTCTGTTAACGTAAGTGTCTACGGCGAGCTGAGCAGGTCGTTCATAGCTAACATCGGAGTCAAGAGTACCCTATTTCTCCATTCCTGTTCAATTTCATCGTAGACGAAATACTGGAGAACGCACCATATAGTCTCCATAACGAGGGTATTGAATGGGCAACTGGAAAAAAGCTATGGTGTTTGGAGTACGCTGACGACATCGTTTGCCTGTTCGAACGTATAGAGAATGCACAAAGAGCACTTGAGAGACGAGCAAGTTCTGTTGCTCCGTTTGGCATTCGCGTTCCNCCTCCTTAATAGTTCAAGGTGACGCCACAATCTGATTGTTACCGAGTACTGTCCCGAAACTAAATGGTCAGGAATTGGCCGAAGTTGACTGCTTCTCGTATTTGGGTAGCTGCGTGATCAACGACGGTAGCGCATCAAAGGATATAGCGACCCGCATTTCCATGCTCGAGCAGCATACGTAGGACTGAAACACCTGTGGCGACGACGTGACGTTGGAAAGTCGCGTATATTGCATTACTACGATCGGTTCTGCTTTGAAGACATCCGTCGGGTTAGTAACTTAAAAGTAATTCGTCGGGTATCTGGGAATGCATTGAACAAGAAATCGCTCTCGCATCGAATCCAGCTCAATAGGCTGCCTTTTTGAGAACACGTTTTGCGTATGTCCGACGGTCGCTTATCGCTATGAGCCTTATTCGTAGTGGCTGTTGCAGGCTGGAAAAAGGCACTTGGAGATGAGGCATGATGAGTAGGTCTCTCATATTCCGGTTTGGGGTCCAAGACTCCATAACCGCATGGTTGGAGACACTGAAAGTCATAGCTGGGAACCGACAGCATTGGCGATCTTGTTACTTCTTATCAAACCAGAGTGCTTGAAATAGTATCTATGCCTAGTTGTACTGCGAACTCTGTGTTGGCCATAGAGGTTCGCATTTTTCCCGTCCCTAAAATTTAGTTCAATCCCTATCCTGTTTACACATTCTCACCTACCTTATATGCAGTATGAGTTGGGCAGCGATCAGTGAAGTTTGCTTCACTGTATTGCGCTGTACGATTATGATGATGAAGCTCGATGCTTTTTCAGACTAGCCATGTTTTATGTGCGTAGTGTAATACTTATAGGACAACAGAACTGCTTAGCTCGTACTCTCGGGACCCTAGCCATTGGTGTGTGTTGTGTCCGAGAAACTCGGTTTCGGCTTCCTCTCGCCGGCTCTCAGTGAGAGAGCTGGACCCGTGCATGTAGGTTTGATCTCAGTTAAAAGTTGGTTATGAGCAGTGAGACTTAGAGGTTCTATCAAAGAAAGCAGTCGTCGCTTCGAAAAAACGCAACTTGTTTGTCATCTCAGCTTAAGCACCCTTTAACTATAGCCCAGATTTGGTCAAAGATGTTTCCGACCAAACAGAACATGACCTCTTGCGTGAGGCGAATCTGGCTGATATCGTGATTTTAGCAAGAGATTAATGCTAGAATAAGTCGTCTGTCGTCAAATGGGACATGTCTGGAAGGTCCATTATGACCAGATTCCTGTTGCTCAGAAAATGGGGAATGAATGTTGTCTCTATGTCCCGAACACTTAGTGGCTGGACACCCTAGCAGTACCCGTCCATCAAACCCCAATGCATATGCATTAAGAGTTTGGCAGCGATCAGTGTAGGGTGGCGCAGTGGTTTAGTCGCTGTCGCCGGAGTGCTTTGAACCCTATGATCCGAGGTTCGAGCCCCGCCACCCGACTTGAGTGGTAGGCAACTCTGCTGTCGTCCTGTTCAATACCACGCCCTCAACTCCGATCATGCCTTAGTTTGCGCCAAGATATCCATGTGCTTCGGTGGGTGCTCTAATCGCAGCGAGGGTTGGACTGCTATAATTTATCTCAACCAGCTAGAGTCAACTCTGTCTGATAACATCAGTTATCACTGTTCGTTCATCAAGAATACTCAACATTCTGCTGGCTTAGTAAGTTGTGACCTGACACGTCGTGTCGTGATACCCTGGATTTCCGCTGATTCTTTCCGCCTTCTTTTTGACGCACACCGAACGGCGAGAGCATAACGTAGTATGATTGGTACCTATACGTGAACCTACGCGGAGCCGTCGAACTTTGGCGGTTTCAACGCGCGTCAGAGATGGAACATGCTGCCACCACGGTAAATTCCCGTAAGCCTTTTCATGTCATTCGAGGCACCGGTAGGATTGCTTTGGGTGTGAGGGGAACCATTATGAAGATGATGGTTCGCTTATTCTCAATGAACAGTGACGTCTTGCCAGCTGGGAGGTGTACTCCTAATTTCAGTTTANTTCAAGCTTTGGGACTTTGCTAAGCTCTGAGCTCCGATGGTCTTTCCCCAGCTTCACTGAAATATGGTGGGATAAAGCTTGTTAGTGATATATATATATATATATAACACATATCTGAGGCCAGATTGTGTGCCAAACAAATCATGGTACAATAATGTTTATAAAAAAGAAAGCTTCACCATTTGTTTGTGAGCGAAATATTTACAGGAATTCCTCAATTCTGGGCGGAAAGCTATAGCAGGGGCTGAAAGCGATGTAACAACTAGATAAGGAAAGGTAAAATCAAGGCTAATAGAGCTCAGAGAGCAGCGCTGTGTGATCCACCGTTCTGTTTTTGGATTACGTGCGTAGCATCACGTGTGGGGACCAAAGACGAAAATAGGGAGCAGTTTGGTTTCCCTAAATATAACCGTAACTGGAAAGTACTTTCTGAATTCCTTTGTTTTGCGATAACTGTTTCATTTGCTTATTTTTGTAGTGCTACTGAACTTGATCTATTGATTTCTCAATCTGTTTTTGTTGATAGGATATGCACTTCCTCCTTGTCTTTGTTCCAACCTCATTTTGGTCTGGGGGAGCTTGGTTACGGCTGATCAACTACCGTAATGCTTCTTTACAACCAAGTGTCTCAAATAAACTCTCCAGAGAAAGCCCACTGACTGCTTTCCTCGTGGCAGCTGTGATTTTCTAACACAGTCAGCAGACGAAAAGCCAATATTTGGGGCTATGATCAGGTCGGTGAATCATTGGCAGTTTACTCCGGAGTTGGCTAAAAGCCGTGATTCCAAACCAAAAAACGAAGTGGCGTACGAACTACACCTCTTCCTGGTTGTGGCAATGGCCACCGGCTCGATTAGCCAAAGGGTAAATGGTCCGGTGAATTGGACACCGGCCCCCAATCGATTGCCGTTTTCACGCAACATCTCGCTGCCTAGTAGGTCAAGCACTGCTGACCCGAAGACCCCGTTTGTGAATCCCCCGAAAAAATTTACCTGCTTGGGTCTGGGAAATTTAGCAGTATCCCACCCACCAGCAAAGCTCTGACCATTTTTGTTTCAAATATAATTGGGCTGTAATTTGTGGCACAGATTCTGAACTGAAATGCGTGTGAAATATAATATGAATAGCATAATTTGAGGGAACAGATTATCGTTTGTCCTTCCCTGATCGCTAACTGCGCAGTGGATTAAATCGTTCAATCGTTTCTATTAGATCCAGCAGTGGGATTTTAGCTTCACATCGTTTTTTAGTTTTCTTAGCTTTTAGACAACATTATCACCATAACAATACATTATTCTTCTAACGGTTCAGAATCTGGAAGACGAATCCCAACCATTAGGGCATTTGTTTTCCCCAGGAGACTACATCGTGATTCAGTCCATTTAAATCTATATGGCACCTTTTTTAGCGGACCTACCGTACGCACATATGCCAATGACTATAAAACATCTATCTGGTCCGAAATACGGCAATTAGGTACATGCTGATCGATGAGTGGATTCCTGCAGTGAGTTGTAAAAACGCCTATGCTTGTCGTGTGCATACATCTTTATCGCGGCACAGTTCTAAAGCAGCCATAGAGATGATGTGTAGAATATTTTACGCATGGTTTCCACGCCAAAAACACAAGTGTATGCAAAGTTGATACAACATAGTTAGGTTGAGAGCAACTCGTTCTAGTATCCTGTTGACTTCACATCTGGGTTCTTTGCTCTCGATTGTTACCAGCTTAATTTGCCATATGTTTACCATAGTTTGACTTGACCCGGGAATCTTGTAATACCTGATCAGAGCCGAAAACGTGTATCACCGGTTGATGCATATGTGAATAACTTTGCAAACATTTCGCCATGACATTTTTGTTTAAGCTTCAGTTTCCATTTCCGTTTTAAATTGGCAGCGTACGGAAAAATGTATTACCGTCCATGGCCCCCTACCCCGAGGCATCCTCCACCATCCGTCCCACCGTGTCCACCACCATCTGATTCATCTGTATATAGACCTTTTGGAACACATATTCCTCCTCCGCCTTTTGGATTCGGTTCGACTGTGATGCATCCGTTTCCCATGACTCCACCACAGTGGCGTCCGTATATCCCATCCAATCTACCATCTCTCCAGCACTCAAGTGTTTCGGAGATGTCTGTGCCAGAATCGCATCACCGTGATGTACCAAATAGTCATATTATCAATCAGTGGACCTCTTGGCTAACGGTCAAAGAACCGCAGGTGTTGATGCGTCGGAAGAGTATGTCAAAAAGTGGTCTTACATTGCCCGAGATTCGTGCTAGGCTTTTACGCTGGAAAGAACTAATCGAGGTTATACAAGACAAACAGTTCAAGAGTTGCCATTCCGATCCCTCGTCCACAGAGGTACGTATCGGTTTTTCAGAAATTTGATTCATGCGTAAACAGACCATGGGAATATTGTTTCCTACTGATACACATTCATATTTCGATAACTCATTTGCATTTCTTTTTCCTATGTTCTTCTCCCCTTTCAGTTACTGTATTGTCTTTTTTTTAAGCTCTGGTTGCTTTACGCATCAACAGTGATCAAATGGGACAAACTTTTACCTGCGCGCTTTCTCTCTCTTTAAAAATCTTCGAATGAAGTAAACTACAACTCATTGTCTTTCACGTAAGGTGATAATCTTTACCTTGTAAACAGACAAACCATCTCCAATACTGAAGACACTATTGACCTATGCAACAGCGACCATGGGAACTGATCAGGTGGAGAAATTGGGCTGTTTTGTTTTGATTCGCCCATGCGAACCAGATATGATGCTGACCGCTACCGCCATCTTACACAACACAGCGCAATAGTGCATATTCATTTATCCCTGTTAAAAACCCAATACTCGCTCATTGTCGATCATTGCTTGATAAATTCGACTATGCTTTGATCCGTGTCTTTCATCACACTCTATTCAATCCATCCAGGTGAGTACGTATAAAACATTAGTAGTTGGTTTTTCATTCCTAATCGAACTCGATGCAAGTATGATGAAGAGGGTTACTTATCATTTTTAAGGTCGATCGGATTCAGATTGCACTATAGATCGCGTTGGAAATATAGTTGAACGTTTATCGGTTCATTGCTAATAGTGCAAAGTAAATCTTCCAATTACGACTGCATTCGTTGCGAGCACGCAGGCACACACTGTTCGTACTTACTCATCAGTTGATATTGTNCCCCCCCCCCCCGGTGATTTCAGATGGAGCTTTCTCGACTGCAGACGGAACTTGCTCAACTACAGACAGAGTGTTCTGACCCGGAGCTGATCAACTGGGTCCGACAAAAACTGCATAGGGTGGCTCGTAAACGCGTGAGTCCTACTTGAATCTGTTTGCCTCTTCTCGCGTCCGTATTGTCACATGACTAATTTGTTTGCAATTCTATAATTTTTTGATCGCATATATATTCATAATAAGTAGTATATGAGTGACTGGAGAAAATTTCCCTGGAAGCACATGAACGGTTTCGCGGTCCTTGCCTATCCGATATTCTGTCAGTTCATTCATATGCTTGTACCCAGGAAGTGTATTTTCGTCATAATCACTTCATTGGCAACACCGGGTAATTTTGGATAGGCGGCTCTTTCAAAGACAGTCCATTGAAGAATCAACACTATGATTCGATGTTCTTTTGGTTTTGTCCAGTCATTCATATAGTACTAATTATGAAGTATTCTATTAATACGCTCAAGTCACGTTTGTTGCGGTTAGTAGTATCTAACCCACCTACAGAACATCGAATCATATTGATTCTTCAGTGGACTGGCCCTGATGGAGCTGTCTATCCAGAATTACCCGGTTTCGCAAATAAGGTTATTATTGACGTATAAAAATATATAGGTATTGACCAAACTTGTGCAACACCCTAACTGTCGTCACATTTGTTTCTCCTAACACTTAAAGTTTCCACCATCATTCACAGGATTGAATGTGATATTGACCCACATCAGACAGAACATATCTGTAGAAATATCCGCTGATATATTTATTTCTCTTAACTGAATGTTATTAACATGTACGATTCATAGATTTGGACAACGGATAAGCACAAGTCAATTTAGGAGAATGAAATAGTGGTTGGATGAGTTCCCTACATAGTCTTAGTCTCGTCATCCACCGGTAAGACACGGTGTACTCTGATTAGTTGTTAATGCTCGTCAATGAACTGATGAACCGATATCATCGAGTAGATGAGGATGGAGGTGGTGGCGATGATGTATTGCAGTCAGTCTTTCAGTTGCCAGTGTGCACCGCTGGCTGCGCCCAAACTACAATACTCTAAATGTAAAAGATAAGCGGCTGTCGGATACTATCTATAGAAAATAAGAAAAAAAAACCCTGAAAACTGTTCGTGTTTGAATCCAGTACGGCACTGGCAGAATATCTCTTATGACTGCTATCCCCACCTATTGACTGATTTGGTCGTGTAAACAACAAATGGTGAAAACAGAATGAGTCATTCTGCTTTAATCTGTTCTCCGTTTCCGAAAGGAGCGATTTCGTCCCAGATCCTCGTACTAAAGAGATCAGAGTTTCTGTTTTTTCTCTCTTCAGCTGGTAAGGAACTTCCAACACTCTGTACTCTGTTGCTCCCCATCAGAAAAAAAATTGAGTAATACGTGTTATTTCAGTTATTATTGAGTTTGGTTGCGGTCATATTCACGACAGTTCTATTCTTATTGCATACCATAGCATGTTGGACAGTGCGCATATGACTACTATGCTCGCTACTTGTTTTCATTTTGGTGGTAGACAGCTTTGCTGTCGTCCGGTTCAATACCACACCTAGCCTTTCGGGGCCTTATGTAGTTCACTACCCCAAGTCCCGGGGATTAGGTTACCGGTTTCTATCCCTGAACAGCAGATCTTCGTGACTATGGTGCTTTCCTCGTCTGCTGTTCATCATACGAAAGTGTGTGATAAAAAATTATTAAAAAAATCGGGGTTGTCAAATTTGAACCAGGTATGAATCTCGTATCAACCCTGTACCTACCGCCAATAGTTCAACCTATCACCATACTATCAAGACACTAGTTATACGGGATTTCATTGATTGATTTAAACTATTTTTATATAAACTATTTGAAAACACGAAGTAAATGGAATAAAATTGTTATCATTTTGCATGTGTCATGTATGAGTAATTTATGTCGGCTAAAGTCATCGCTTCCCTCATTTTGCTTCACTAACGTTTTGACTATCAGTCCGGCGTCACGCGAATTTCGCCGTGTCCGGTAAATCAACCATGAGGATCCCAACATTATTTATGAGTTTACTCCGTACCACATTTTAGGCTACTTATTTTCCGATGTAGTTAGTCGGCTACGCTAATATTATTATTATTATTAGCGTTATATACTCTATTTTAAGAGATTCAGTGTAAAATTGTTCTTAATGATTCAGTTTCGGTTTATACAATCATTAACCATGCACTTTCGTGTTCCCGTTTTGGTTGCTGTCTTTTGGCTGCCCATTTGAATGAGGGGCGAGAAAAAGGATTAAAAGTTAAGTTAAAATTGGAGTGGAACAGAAAATGGGCAACTCCAACAGTTAAAGGTTGCAAAGAAACGACTTTTTTTAGCTGGCCCATCCCAACTTTCCCCTCATCCCTCGCCCGCTCCCTCCAGCACGTGTGTGGTACGTGCTCTTTGCATATTTTGTCCACGACCAATCTCTGCTCATTGTATTAGACTGTTGTCAAAAGAGTTCATCAGCCGCGAAAATCACGAGGTGCTCTGTCAGCTGTTCAGTCTTTTCCGCGTTCTTTGAACAAACCATAGCCAATAACGATGGGATGTTTTCTATGTGCACTATCCGCGGGGGGGTTTAGATAGAGTTTAATTCAACATTATCTCTCCCAGCTACCCCCCCCCTTTCATCCGCGACTCAATCTACTGCTCTAAATTCTGGCGCTACCTTTCCACGAAGGGTGTGCTCGAGAAGTTAATTTCAGTGCTACGATCGCTTTATACTAATAGCCGAAGTCGAGTGCGGGCTTACGACACTTTTTCGCCCGAGTTCACCACGGAAAATGGAGTTCGTCAGGATCGCCCTCTCCCTCCTTTTCTATTCAACTTTGTGATAGATTTACTTCTTGAAACAGCCCTATCCTTGTGCGAGGATAGTGGTATCGATTTACTCCCAGGTGGCAGACTGTCTGATCTGGAGTATGCAGACAAAATTGTGCTACCAAGTGAAGATCCAGGTAAGTTGCAAGCTTTTATGGATAGTTTGAGTGCTAGTGAAACCACCTTCAAAGGGTAAAATGTTGCTCCAAGATTGGGTTGGTCTAGCGCCCAGTCTCATCCTGACTGGGGAATTAGTAGAGGAAGTGGATAAATTTTACTATCTTGGCAGCTATATCTCACCTGGCGCACGCATCACAGATGGAGTGTCTGCTCACATTCAGAAGGCTCGGTTGGCATTTGCCAACTTGAGATATCTTTGGCGCTGTAGCGACATCCGGCTGTCTGTGAAGGGTCGAGTATATGGTGCAGCAGTTCGGCCACTCCTGCTCCACGGTGCAAAAACTTAGCCATTAAGAAGGCGGTGTTTGAACACCACTGTCCACGCAGCATTGCACGAGTCTGGTGGGGCAGCCGGACTAGCAATTCTTGGGTTAAGCGCAGAGTTTTGGGTATCCGCGGTCGCCCACTGGAGCAAGTAGTCAGCCTGCATAGATTACGTTGCCTGGGGCATGTAGGCATCCAAAATATAGCAACCAAAACCAGCACACAAAAGTGCATGGTTAATGACTGTTCAAATTCAAACGGAACTGGATCAAATACGAAACAGCCTTTCCGAGCAATTCACGATTCGCTGTCAACAACCATATATATTTATATATATTTTCACACACGTCTGACTGACACTGACAGACTGTGTTCCAAACAAATCGTTGTGCGATAATCTTTATGAAAAGGAAAAACGTTCCATGATTTGCATGTGGGTCGAATACTTCCAGATTGCCCAGGCCAACACGGGTGAATTTTCTTGAGGAATCCACAATCAGAGTCTGTGGCTAACCAAAGCTTGACCCGCAAAGCAGCGGGGCGGTGTGCGAAAACCGCAATCTATTGGGAGCCGGTGTCCAGTTTATCGGATCATACGCCCTTCGGACGGGGTCAAACGTCCAAGGTGCCCAATCGAGCCAGTGACCACTACCACAACTAGGAATTTGTGTTTGTGGTTCGTACTCCTCCTCTTGGTTGGTTTGGAATCAAGGTTTTTAGCCAACTCCTCTGGGTGAACTACCAGTGATCCACCTACCCGGTTATGGTCCCGGGTGTCGGTTTTTCGTCCTCTCGCTTTGGTGGGAAAACACCCCTGCCACGAGTAGGGCTGCCTCGGGAGAGGCTATTTGGGACGCTGGTCCTATGGGAGCATTTCGAGAGGTGCAAGAACGGGTGACCAGCCGCAACCCTAGACACCCACCCCGACCATACTAAGGCTTTTGGGAACCATAGCATATAGCCGGAAGAATACAAACTTGTATCACCGGATTCACAAACTGTTTATTGATGTCGTTTCACATCTCGGTATTAATTTTCTGGAGTGGTCAGCTTGAAAGTACTCAACTGAGTTCCAAAAAGATTGCACCCTTCAACGAGGCTCGTCTGATTACAATCACTACCAAACGCGTTCAAGAAAATCCAAATAAATATGCACTGCGGGTTGGATTATGAACACAGCGCCGACATATTGATCGTATGTTCATTTTGTATCAAGTGCTCGAACTTGGTCATACCTATGGTCAACGCATGATTACACTTTGCTTCATCCTATATGGTGTTTTGTTTCTGAGTTGAGCATCGCTCTTTTATCCTTTTTGCTTTATTGATCCTAAATATGGATGAGTTAGTCACGTGGACCAAACCTAATATTGACCTGGTTATGAGCAAGCCTTAGTTTTCGACCTCTCCAGTCAGCGTTTGTCTCACAAACCCACGCCTCATTGTGTGTGTACTGCATGCCGTACTTATTGTCTCTTCGTTCACAATGCATTGCTTCCGATAGCATTCCGTAATATCCACTGCAAAACACTGTCATTGAGAATAAACTTAGGAAAAATTTGAATGCCTCTGAAGAGAATTCATGTAGTTCTTTTCTGCATTTCACGTTTCCCCAATTCCCGTCTGGTCGAGGCGCATTTTTGTCACTCATGCCCGGAACAGAATAGTTTATTCTCACTGCAGCAATCGCTATGGATGTTACTGGCTGTCGTCACGGTATAAATGTTCTGTATAACTGTCCTCAAATTGTTCGGCTTTTTTGTTTTGAGTGATTCAAAGATTTATTATGGGAATAACTTACAAGCTCATGCTTT